TTACAATATGTTGCGAACACATGACAATTAATTTTTCTTGTGATGATGTTTTCCAATATAGCTCATATCAAAGTTTTCATCGTCGGATACAATTATGTATCAGTGTTATTACCCCTTTTTGTCTTTTTCTTTTTTTGTTCACCAAGTGTTGTTACCCTATTTTTTAAAGCTCATATTGAAAAAGACATGAGTCCCACCGCAGGAGACATGAGTCCCACTGAACCTTTTAATCCACAAATGTGAAACTTGATCGAATCCAATGGCCAGACAGCTTCCAAGTTGATTACCACTGGAGTAAGAGCACCGGTCTGATTACCATGATAGATCAATAATCCATGTATAATAATATTATTCAGAAACAAAATCAAAACCAAATTTTCAATTAATAATATAATCTCACAAGTGTTCCTAATTGTGCTATCGTGTGTCATGTTATCAGGCCGACAACTTACCCATTCCAACCTGGAAAACCCACAGACTTAAAACTAGACTAGACCGGATAATCATCACATTTACCTTTTGAGTTTAATAATCCGAAAAACTCTTACTATTATATTAGTAATAATTTAGAACGTGAATATATAACAAAGTACGCATCCATATGTAACACACGTACGCGTTTTGAGCAGCGCACAAACAAATGTACACATATATTCGATTACTTACTGTCTTTTCTTAAATATCTGTTTTTGAGGTTAAGTACAGGTGTAAATATCTTCTAACCTAAATAATATTATTATACTCCATACAAATCTAATAAATACCCTACAGCTAAAATCTAAATTTGGTAAGCATCAACGATAACCTACCAAAAAATTAACGAGAAATCGAATAAAGAAATATGTATAAAGTTTGATACGTATAAAACCAGTGGGTCCAAATTTGGAAATCGACCACGTGGCTACTGCTAAGTTCATAAACATGGTTTGTTTTTAATTAGGGAGAAAGATAATACGTCATTATAGTTGTCTTAGTGCAAGCATTATCGGCTTTTGAGGACTTCAAATCGCTGAGAAATTGACACGACGCCTTGTGAGTGTGTCTAAAGCATCCAAAATTGGTAGGGGTACGTGTTGATTTTTCATTAGGTTGATTTATATTCTAATCATATAATTATCTTTATGTGATTACCTAAAAGGCTAAAACACGTGAAACCTAAACACGTCGACACGTGTCTATCCCCGTTTCATTATTTTATTCTCGATCTACTATTCGTTGATTTTGATGATTTTCGCATAACATAGATATGTTGACTCACTCTTAAAAGGCTTTGAAAAAGTAAGATATTTATGTCCCTTCTCCTGAAATTAGATATTTGTATGCACTTTATTGTTAAGATATTCAAATATTTTAATCTTGCAAAACTCGAAATATGTATCTTTCATTAAGTAATAGCCAAAATTCAAACGCATGGTCCTTGTACGTTACAACTTACAAAGTATGAAAATGAGATTATTAATTGAAAAGTTTGGTCCTTTTGACGTACATACATGACTTTTTTTTTGAAAAAAAAATATGTTGATATTATTCTTCATATAATCAGTACTAATGTTGAATGATATACATATGAGTTGATTCATTTGACTCACATAAATAGCTCAAAAATCATCCTAGATAATATTGGCAAATTAAGTATCGATTCATGGGTATAGTGAAAAATATAGTAATTCTTCATTTAAATCAATATTTAATCTTTGTTTACCGAATATAGTGAAATGAGTTTTATTTTAAATTTATTAAGGAAAAAGGTTTGTTCAACTTTTATTCCCAGACCGAATTGGGAAATGAAATGAGTAAAAATGTAAAAGACCTAGCTAGTACTTTTAAGTTGTTACTCAAAAGACGTCCAATGGATTTGCAAAAAGTAGTAGAAAGACTAATACTATCTTAGGAAATTGAGTTTATACACTATCTAACAGTGGCGGAGGTAGTGAAGAGGGAGGGGGTCAATTGACCCCCATAACATTTATGATTTTTTTGTTTTTTTTAAGGTAAATGACAATAATTTATGGATATTTTAGTTTAATTTTTCCATAATGACCCCATGCCAACAATCAATTCCTTAATTTGACCCCTCACATGTTTATTTTTTATTTAGCATTAATTTATTTTTCATTTTTTGTTTTATATTTTTTCTAATATATGGCTACAAATCTCTAAAATCATGGTACACATTAATTTTTTAGATATGTTCTATTTTTTTTCCTTAGTTTTTTTTTTTAAATTTTTCTTAGAAATATTTTATTTAGTTTAAAATAAATGATTTAATATTAATATATAATTAAATAAAAAATAATTAATTATATATAACCCCTATAAACTAAAATTCTAGCTCCGCCACTTCTATCTAATCAGTATACCGCACGCAAGCCAAATCCACTTGAGTCGAAGAAAATCAGTGGGTCATGGAACAAAACAAAGTCAAGATAAATTACAACATCGAACAACATTATCCGCACAGATCCAAACTCCAAAGTTATTTAGATGTTTTAAGACAGTTCTGTTTTATTTCCATGCGTAAGTACTTAGTTAGTGAGGTTAGGTAGACAGATTCATTCAAACTGAGACATCACTGGTTCTATCCAGCCTTAGGAAAAACAAGTTTCCTTGTTATGTGTGGATTTCACTACGAATAAATTTCATGGCTTTTTTCAAAATTAGGGTTGATTGTCAAGTAATATATATGATATTTAAATTGTGTTGCAACTAAACAAACTTGTATGACTCGGACAAATTGATATCGATGATTATCAATTGAGTGAAGAATGATCTAAGCTACAAACTTTTATCGAAAAAATGATCTAACTAGAAACGCATGAAAATATAACGGAAACATGTTACATATTTTTCTACATCGCTTTGTGACCAAAATTAACATACACATATATCGATTAATATATACACATACTGTATATCGTTCTAGCTTACATCATATCTAAAAAACTTGTACAGCTTTGTGCTACCAATCAGACTTTTAGTATTTGCTTTTTATGCAGCTATATTCTGGTTAATACTTAAGAAACGATAATTTTCAGCATCGTATTTTAATTCACTATATGTTAGATATTTCATGAACTTGAACAAACATTATTTTAGTTTGCTACACAATAAACGCCCAAAGTTATTTTCCTGCTACACAATATATCTTAATATGATGTCGGTGCATGGATACAAACACGTCCACTTAAACCAAGTAAGCTTCCACTTTATGCTTTGCAGAGTACTTTCTAATAATGTATCAGGATTAATAAGTTATAAACTAATATGTTTTTCTTATATCTATTGATAGTTTACACTTATAATTAAGAAAAAGAAAAGGATATATTGAAAGATGGAAAGGGCAATTATAGAGACGAGTGAGTTCAGTGTCGCTATATGATATTCATTTTGCTGATGCTGACATATGACTTTCTTATATTTTTCTAATTCCCAATATACATATATATGTTTTTTTTCCGACAAAGCTAAATTTATATAATTTGATTGTGTAAATTACATAGTCTCGATGTAAAGTATATGTTAACCAAATTGGTGGAAAAAAACAACTTGAAGGAAATTGAACATTTGTGGACAAAAATTTGGCTAGTAAATGTGCTGCTAGATTGAGATCTCGCTTATGTATGACACTATAGTCTTGTAGTTTAGTTCGCACAGGAGAATATCTTTGCAAATGTTGGTGGTGCACATAAAAGTCTATGTAGTTTAAGATCTTAAACATTTATAACTAAAGAGGTATATATATTGGATTCAGGCCCATTCATATATTGTTGGCCTCTTCTTCTAAAGTAATTGTAAGAAACAACACATATAAGACTATATCAACAACAATATCCAGAAAGCCCAACCTGAGTCCCACTCACTAAGTTGCTCAACTAGTCTTTTTTTTTTTCTTTTTTTTTCATATTGAATATAATGATTTAGTTTTCATTTGTACATCCCTGATTCATGGGTTTGAATTCTCTCAGAACCTGATCACCAAAGAATGTAAAATGAGAATGAGATTTTCACCTGAAATTATTCGTCCATTTAATGTATAATTTATAATGGTAGTCCAGATACAAGATAGATTAGATGAAATAAACATGTAAATTTTAAAGCGAATTAAAAGAGCCCATGTGGAATTAAATGTGGAAGATCGATCACCCTCGGTCTTCTCTGAAGTGAATTTAATTAGTTTGTCTTTCTCTTTATTGGATTGTCGAATCTAATTGGTTGGAGTGTGGATCACTCAATCAATAATTTGTAGTCTTTTTTCCTAATAAAAACAAAAGATAAAAGTATACATTGATCTATATATGTATACCATTGCTTTAATTTGGTTCATTGCAAATGTATCTATTGTCTACAAAATATCGACGACTTAATGTGGTAATGTATTTCATCTCCAAAAATATCAGGAATTAACTCCATTACGTTGCAAAAACTTAGCCATAGAAGAGTTTTTTTTCGGATCAAGGTCTAACAATTTGACTAACTACATAAGTTTTAATCGGATTACAAAAACAAAAACAAAAATCTAATGTGATTACGTCTTTGTACGGCTATGACATCTTTATTCCCATTAATCATCCCGTATAGTACTAGTATTTTCTCCACGAGTCCGCATAAAGATAGCAGTATATATAAATTAAGATATAGAAATCAGAAAATCGACGGTCGAGATGACAAAACCAATATATGGCAAGAATATATAGTTTTAGATGAATTTAGAATAATATTTACAAATGTTAATATTGAAGTTTAGGAAGTTTAACAATATTTCTAATATATTATTTACATTTATATATTAATATTGAAGTTTAGGAAGTTTAACAATATCTATAATATATTATTTACATTATATTTATTTTGAATAGGAAACTTAGATTAGTCTCATTTCTTATATAAGAATGATAATGATTGAAGAAGAGGGTTTGATTATTCTTACACTCTTTGTCTCTCTTCATTCATTACTCTCTTTTACATGTCTCTTTGACTCTGGACCACTTTACCCGAAATTCCTAAACCTAAAGAAGAAAAAACTCCTCACCGGTCCTGGCTAATGGGCGTCGTCCTCCGTCAGCACCACCTTCGTTTCATCCCAACTCTCATCGTTTATGCTTTCCTTCTCCTTTTCTCGTTTTCCTCCGCCGCCTCTCTTCAACGTCTCAGTAAGAACCCACTTCTTTAAACTCTTTTATCTACTATCATATATTTTCTTTATAGTTATTGGTGGAATACGAACCCAAAAGTTCCTTAACTTCTGACAATTGCATACTCAACTAAGCAAAATGTTTTGTTGCTTAAAGAAAAGAAGAATTGAAGGAGAAAAAGTGAAATCCCTGTTTTTTTTCTTTTTTTTTTTGCTTACTTACTAGATAGTGAATTTACTCTGTCTTTAAACTAGGTGGAGGGCTTGGGCAGGGGAAGAAGGAGACAGTTAGGTCGGGTTTACCGGGTCAGATCGTAGATCAGAAGCGGTTAGGCGGCAGGCTTGGCTCGGCGCCTCCGATGTGTAGATTGAAGTGCGGGAAGTGTGAGCCATGTAAAGCAGTTCACGTTCCGATTCAACCAGGTCTGGTTATGCCATTGGAGTACTACCCTGAAGCTTGGCGCTGCAAGTGTGGCAACGAACTCTTCATGCCCTAAAACGAAAAACAGAACTTCATGACCTAACTTAGTTTTTAAACAATTAGTGAACTTTTTAATAATCTTTTTCTTTTCCTCAGGACTAATTTTTGTTTTGCTTACTAATTGTTTTTTACTGGTTGTATTGAAAAGAAAAAAGGAAGCTGAATCTCATCATGTTTCGTTTTTCTCACTAGTCCCAATCATTATTTTCAAATAATCTGACTCAAGCTGGTTTTTTTATATTTTAAGAACTCGACTCAGAATTATAATGATTTGTGCTATTATTATATACGTGTCATGGTTCATATTTAAATTTGGTAGAGTGCTTGTATTTTATTGACAATTTTCTCTTTATAAATATAGTTAGCTTTGAAGTAATTTTTTAAAAAAGTTTTATTGTGATGATAATAGCGGTTTTAACAAAAGGAAAAATATGATAGTAATAGACTAATAGTTATATAGATAATCTTCACAAAAAATGTGTGATCATTACAAATACACATATCATTCCTTATTAAGTGCATTTGCCCCCTAATTTCAGACCAACCCCTCTAGTTTTATTAGTCGGCTCATGTGTTCTGGACCCATAGGTTTTAATTGGTCCCTGGACACCCATTTTCCATTAGCCATTAGGCCATTACTTGTCGTGTGTAGTAATTTAATCCATTATTGAGTATTTATACCAATAAATTAAAAATGAAAATTTTGTACCGATAAGTATTGTATTTATACCGTACTTGCACCGTTACACATGTATATTCTCTTTTAAATTATTATGTTTTTTTTTTCTGGTTGAACTACGGAGAAAATATACTTACAGCCATACACATATGTCTAATATCTTGTACACCATAACAACAACTGGAACAGATACTTGCATGAAACATATTCTTTTGGAGAAATGTTTATAGCAATCGTGTGGTGTTGGTATGTTACGTAATGCAATGGGAAACGATCTTCCAAGTTGTGCACATAAACCAAGGCACAGGCGTACGAAACACACGAGTTGGTCTTACACAACTTAAGCTTTTAATTTATCTTCCAAGTCAAAGTCAGTATTTTCACATGCAAGCGGGGCCTGTTTCTACTATTTGTTCTTGCCATATTAAGTAATACACTAAATTCAATATAAACAAAATTGAAAGTGTATGTATATATATGTACATATATTTTCGTCCAATAGATAAGGTAGTGATGGTCTTAAAACTATGTATAATTAATGTGTAACCATAGCTTTTTCTTCTATAAGCTATACGTACACTAAGCCAAGCGCATGATTGCTCTCTATATACCAAACCTTAACCCTTTTACTCAATTTGGTTTTTAAAAGTCAGTTTCTATAGTTTTTATTTTCATACTTTACATGCATAAACGCAAAAATGAAAATTTATGAGCTAGTTAAAATTTATCATAACTTAAGAGTTTTTTTTGGTGGATTTATAATAGATATCTTATGAAATGAATTGGGCCAGCCCAAATACTCACCCAATCTTATTTGGCATAGGGAAAAGTCCATAATGAAAACAATGTACAATATTCGTTTCCAAAGTCCAAACACATGCATTTTGAAATTTTCATTGATTTTTTTTTTTTTGTAAACGACTATATTAGATTGACTCAAATAAACTAATGATAGGAACATAAATTTTCATTGATATCATAATCAAAACGGCATGGAAAACTAACATTGTTTTCATTGATATATTATATATTTTCATTGATATAATATACCACCGATAAAAGTGACCTATTTGAACATTGTTATTAATTTTTACTCTTTACCATACGTAGCTGTGTGAGTTTATATTTTCACCATTTAGTAGAACAAGGAAAACTTTGAGGAAAAACAAAATCAATTAGTTTAAAAATCATTTGTAGATGACTAGGAAAAGAAAGAGAAATAAATAGTAAATAAAATTTAAACGTATTCTAAGAAAACCACTGCCGATATAAATCTAACGTTTTCCAAAAACAAAAACAGTTACTTTGCTATCAAAAGTGTATATAACATATATTGAAAAGAAAGAATCTATAATTTTGGAAACTTGTGTTGTATGTCGGAGGCGGGTGCATCAACGGCTAGCAACGAATTACGAAGATTTGTCGAGCTTACTACAATCCCTAGCAACCACTTTCATGGGCTTGGAACATATCGTTGAGAGGTGAGATCAGTACCGGCCCTGAGCTAAAATAGGTAAAGTCTTTGTTTTAGGCGCCAAAAATTATATATAGACGGAAAGGGCATCACTTTCAGAAAACATTACGTATTGCAGTGGTTTGCCCCTAGGTGCTGCACATTTTGGTGCATAATTCGAGTCCGAAATCTGTTGTTTTGTGAGTTTTTAAATGTATGGGCTTAAGAATACTTTGGGCAGCCAATGGGATGGTGGTTTGTCACGGGAAAGCTCGAGGGTTTTGCTAGCAGGGCTAAAATTGTCCACATCAAGTACATTAGATTTCTTCTAGAAGATTGGATTCAATGAGTTTCGGACTTACTGATATTACGTGACGTCTATTGTGAATCCATATGCGATTATTGTGAGCATACCTATTGGAGGTAATGGTTCCGGTTAAGCCGGTATGAACAATTAAGCTGGATGATTGCAATAATGTGATGTTCGATTTCAAACATGAGACAAAAGCAAGATCAATATATATTTTGATGTTCCCAATATATATGGGAATATGGACCCATCAGATTACCACTTTTTTATATATATATTTATAAACTTAGAAACTAAACCATTTTTTACAAAACCAAAATTACAAACACCAAGATTTGTTTAATCAGCCACCCTTATAGATGGCCCATTTCATCCTATATAATATAGTAATATACATGTACCTTACCAAAAAGACATTACTCTTAAAAGCCCCCTAAACTTTCTTGAAGTTGTAAATTGGCCCCATAAGTTACATATCACCCCCAAACTTAACTCTTAAACTACTCCTTCATATCCTATATCTGTTATTCCTCTCGGTAGCAACAGCAAGAAGCCTTGAGACACCTTGTGTCCACATTTCATACTCTCTCTGACTCTTGCACTCAAATTCTACAATCCCTCGCGGAACCGTCTTTAACCCAAAGTATCTCAAATCCTCTCCTCCTTCCAGCAAATGGCGGCCTGGCCAAGCCGGAATGTTTTTGATCACATCAATCACAACATCTGAAGTAATTTAGAAGAAGAAAAAAAGATTAGGAAAATAAACTATAAAGGGAGAATGTGCAAGAGTCTTGATATTCACATTCAAAAGAAAACACTTAAAAAAAAAGGTTAAAGATGGCGTCTCCTTTTGTTTTGATCCTCTGATCACTTTAGTCCCAAAACCCTTTTGCTTTTCTTTTTTCTTTTCTTCTCAAATCCCCAAATTCAAAGTAGACCCACATCAAAGTTTTGAATTCTCATATTATTGATTGTATTAGTAGATAGTGACAAAGTTCTTTAATTATGTCACATTAGTACTATGAAAAAATCAAACAAATTCTTTGTCTTTGAACTGATTAGAATTTTGATAGTTGTATGCATAATAAGGGTAAAAATCTCTCTTACTTTTGTTCTTCTTTGTGAAGGTCCCTCCTACATGCCTGCTCTTCATCTTCAATATAACCTTCATGTCCAATAACCAGATCAAAATCATAAGAGTGATGCCAAGAAATGGTTTAAACAGAGACTAAAGCAGATTACAAGCTATACATCATTCACAAAATTGCTTTCTCTTCTTTTCTTGGTCTCTGAAATCTCTTTTTCGTGTTCTTTTTTTTTTTTTTTTTCTGTATTCTTTTAACAAGATCACACTCATGTGGATGACTTAAAAAGTTTCCACTGATTCGCTAATAATGTATTTCACTTTAATCTTTCTTTCCTCACTTCCAAGTTCATCAGATTAATGATATCATTGCTCAAAAAAGACATCAAAGAAACTCAGAGAGTCGAGACACAAAATAAGAAGATATCTTACTTGATTTAGCCTGTTTATGTAAACTGAAACTATTTTCCAATGAAGATCACCTGCCAAAACCATAACATTAGTTAAGAAAAATGATCCAAGAAACACTGTTACTAGATTAGCGTTTTTACCTTTGCGGGTGCGTTTAAGAAGTTGGCCACCTCGAGCAAGCCATTCTCTGTTGCAATGTCCCAAGAAATTATCCTCAACTAGAAATTCGCCACTGTGACTGCTGCTCGAGCTGACATTGCTCCCATTACCGTTACCATTAACATTGCTGCAACCTCCGGGATTGATTCCTTTATCCATTGGAATAACTGATGCAATGTTCCACACCTCCTTCATCGCCCTCGCTTTCAATGTAGCCACTCCTCTTAACGCTGCACCAGAACCAAAACAAAACAATTTGAACATGTTTTCACTAGAAACATATATCAATTTCTAAAACAAACTCTAACAATAGGCGAAAATGCTCGTCAAATTTTGAATCTTAGCAAAACCGTTTCTAGAGTCATGTTAAAAATTGATAAGTGCCAATGAACTGAGAACAGATTAAAACTTAGAAAAGAACCTGTAGCTGCTCCAGCAGTTAATGTCATGATATCTCCGGCGGATCGAACATTAACCGCAGAACTAACAACAGAAGCTAAATGATCCCTCTCAGCTCCCATAACTTCAGCAGCCTCCACACATTGAGCAGCCACAAGTGTTGCAGCAGAAGCAACAGCCATATCCGTTTTAGCCATATTCTCATCTTTCCCAGAGCTCGACGAAGCAGCAGTTGCAGCCGCAATAGCAGCCACCGCAGCTGCCACACCAGCAACGGATACAGCAGCATGTATCTGAGCATTGTGTGCCCTCGTCTCTTCCTTCTTTTTCTCCCTCCGGTCTTTCAACCACCGTCCAACCGTCTTGGACTGTGTAGTTGTTGCCGTTATAGGTCCCGGAGTTGTTCCCGTTGAACGGAATTGAGAGTTGAAATTGTTTGATCGACAAAATTGCTGCATAGACAATTAAAGCAAAAAATCACAACAAAATCAGATTCTGTAACACTAAAACAAATGAAGCAAAAATCTAATTAAGGTAACACTCTAACAAGAAACCAAATCGAGTAAAGAAGATTGCTTTTATATTAAAATACTTCAATAATAAAAAATTCCATGAATCTTCATCGAAGAAACCAAAAACGAAAATTACTAAACTAATTAAACACTGATTATCTTATATCTCAAGTCATTAGCCGGTAGAGATTAAAGAACCAAACCTTAATGTCGTCGACTTGAT